AACGGCAGCAGCGGACAAGGCCCGGTACGAGCGCGAGATGGCTAACTTGCGGTAAGAATGCTGCCTAGTTCCCAGCCGTAGATTGAATACGAAAAGACTAACACGTTGAAGAGAAAAGGCAAAACTGTAATCCACTTGGTTCGTGTGGGGGAATGGGCCAACAACAATCTTGGGACGTAAATGGTTCAAGTCGGAGCCTTCTGTTGGTGAACCATTTCCTTATTCACGTCGCACTAGACCTTGCTTGTGCTCTCAAGCAGTCAGGTCGCATCATGTCACCTTGGTCATGTCCTTTACCTAGCTTCTTCAGAATGTGATTAATGGTTGAGGATGTGCATCACTCGACTCAATTTTATGAAATGCTTCGGTTGCGTCGAGTCGGCCTGGGAAACGATGCTCTCCGGTACTCCGTAGAGTGCATGAATTGAGGGTCAGATTGGGTCAAATGTCCACCAGTATATGTCACACGTGTTTCTTATAGCAATTCGTTAATGCTAGAGCTCGGCAGTGGAATCAAGTCTGGTGCCTGCGAGGAATGATGGGCTGTTTCCACGTCAAAGTGGCCGGGCTACTTACCACCCCGGCAATTGTAGATTCGGCCATGCCCCACTTGCACCACTACCGGGACCTGTGGTCCGTCGTTGAGATCAGAAACGGAACATGACATGATCGAGTAGGGCGACATGACTAGTCACTCTGCACTTGAGCTGGAAATCTGGCCAAAACCGCACTTGGCCGCTATTTTCCGAGCCCAGGTTCCCCTGCGGTGGTTTTCGGTGTGACCTGAGCCGAAGAGCGGGGCTAAATGGCCCGAAGATGCCTCGAGTAATCAATCATTGTTGACCATTGACGTCTTGCTCGGGTGGCGGGTCCGGGCCCACATATGTGGGGATGGGGTGCAGATGTGCATAAACGTCCCGGCACGCAGATGCCGTCCGTCATTTACCATTGATTTGATCACGTGGTGCCCCCAGCACCGCCGAGCCAATTTCAGGGTGAAGCGGCATTGCGAGAGAAAAGGCACTGGCCCTTGGACATTTCTGGTGTGTCTTTATCAGACAGAACACTGATCATAATGGTACGAATCTCCCCAGCAGTGGAGAGGAGCAAGGAGAAAGATACTGACAAAGACCTGATTGGCTGAGCTCGACATTTATTAGCAGCAGGGCCAGCTTTCACTGCCAACGCCGACATGTACAAATGAGCTTCTGCTTGGTCGTAGCATGCAAAATTTTTGCCGTTGAATTGTTCCATGGAACACAAACGAATGAATGCGCGTCACTGGATGGTACCGGCAGGCATGGCGCTGTTTGCATCCATCGTGACGTTGGCGGGAAAGCAAGTAGATTCAATCGATTTGCACCACAGGGTGCTGTTGGCGCCAGAAGGCCTCGGATCATGTGTAGTCGCGGAATGAAAAGTAGGGACCAAAACGATCTTGTCAAAAGAGCTTAGCGAACCCTCGTGTGATAGTATATCATACCAGATAGCGAGCATGCACTACCAAGGAGATCTCCACTTTTGGTAGTGCAGCTGGCAGACCTATAACACCTCGAGTCTCACAAGATGAGTCATGGCCACTGGCATGTTGAGAAGCCCGATATAGAACATGGCCAGCCGACTCTCAGAGCATAGGAAGTATAAATGTCAGGACTTGCTCATCAAGTGCATTCCCACTGCTAGCATGACAACGAAGCCGCCATGTGTCTGGGGCTTTGGCTAAACCAGCCCAAATCGCTTCCGTCATGTCACGAGTCAATGTTGACCAAGCGAGGGGGAAGCCAGTTCTGGGTTGCAGCAGCTTGGGCCTGGGAGCGAACAGCCGTGCGTAACCGCCTTTCGGCGGCTGGGTCATCCTAGAAGCAGTCAAATCAAATCAGATATTGATCAATACAAAAGCCCGAATTCCTGCTCCTAAAGTTGTTTAGAATCCTGAGCAGTAACCATACTGCTTGCACTTTTCACATCCACCATGGAAATAGTCAAGGGCAATAACGACTCACGTCATGTCGCATGGCACCACTACGCTTAGTTAAAGTGAAAAACTCTGGATCCTGACGAAGGGGATGAAGAGCCGAATAATATGGAAATAAAATACTTGATTGAATAGCTACTGTTTAAAGAGCGACTAGAGTTTGACGACGAAAGTTAATTGTTATTGTTTTTTTGCAGTGCCTAATATCTAGCAAGATGCGTTTCGGGGTGGCCGGTCACGATTGTGGATTACATGGTTGCATCCATCACTTCGGAACGCAAAAGTGAACACTCTGATCTTTTGTTAGCACACTTGAAACGCACGCGTCAGCAGGCAAACTTACATCTCCTCCCACAACTGAACCCAAGCGGCCTTGCAGTTGTGCAACTTCGGTGATAAGCTTCGCAGACTCGTTCGTATACTTCTCCATATCTTCAAACCAACCCTTAAAAAGAAAGTCGGCCTTTTCTCCAATTAGTATAAGGCCCTTGTAACTGATGTATGTGTTCACTTACATTTTCGGTACAGTTTCCGATGTTCGCTACGGCACGGATTCCCTTCGCAGCTTCAACAATATGTCTGTGCGTTTTTTTCATATCCTCCAACCTAACATGCGTCGTAGACAAAAGTGAGTCTAGTATGTCGAATGACGGGTTCACCGGACGGTCCTCTCGTTCAGCTAGTCGAGTGTCTGCTCCCAAACCAAGAGTAGCTAGACCTATAGCCATGGACAGTATAGTGACGAGGGACTTCATGTTCAGGATTTCAAGACAAATAACTAGGCAAAGTAAAAAGTATTGTATGCTTCAAGAGGGTTCGTGTTGACTCGAAATGTTTGTCGAGGCTATCCTCCCTTCTTTATAGTTTTAATAACACGTATTTGATAGCTTGAGTCAGACGCAGAGTGTTATTGATTTCTATACGTCCTAATTACAGGCCTGATGCCGGGAGACAATGAATGCTCATAGGTAGGAATTTTAAGCTAATTAGGAGCCTAATACTAAAAGGGTTACATATGAAACTTTGCAGCACAGTACTTATCAATCTCAGCAAGTTTTTCTTTATGCTGCATTAGAATTGCATTATACCAAGCACCTGATCAGGCTTACTAGTGGGCCTAGTGGCCTGATGAATGGGCACAACTAGTCAGTGCCAGTTTCAGATTTCAGTTGCAGCAGCGACGAATCTTCTTCGCCTTGGCTTATGCAAGCTTGGTAATAGACTGGCCACAGCGGCAAACTGGGTTCAGGCCCCAGCTGCAGACAACTTTTCCATCGGCTTCGTTGTTAGCCACTGCAGCTGATGTACTTCCTAATATCTTAACTTAGGCCTAGATTTAGAACTCGGGCGCTGTCTTGTGGAAAGTCCGCAAAGATACAATCGGCAGTGACCCACAGTGGGGATATGAACATTTATCGCTTTTTACGTTGATATTCGGACCGGACCTCTCTTTTCCAAAATTCCCTCAGGGTTATTATTATTATTATTATTATTATTATTATGAGAACCACGCTGATATTCCTACAAGTACTCGTCCTTTTTAATTATAATATATCAAGTAAATTCTAAGCGTATTTGTTCTGGATCACGGCCTTATAAGGGTGTGTGGTCCTGTCATGTGCTACGCGCTTGGGGACCCGGCTCTGCTTGGCATGGGGTTTCGGTACTTCCGTGGTAGTTCCGCGTAAATTGCAGTCAACTGGCCATCTCGCTTACGTTGCCCACGCGGTAACGGCAGGGTCCCCTTTTTCATTTTGGAACAACAATGTTGCGGCAAACTCGACGTTGACGGTTCGCACTCATTCCTTCTGCCCCGCGCCGGGACCTGCCGGCAAGCGAGAGTGACGACGCGTCGAGCTCAGGACAAGGAGCTCTTCTGGCTATTCCGTTCCTCTTCACCTTTGGGCACTTCTTGTACTCGTATAGCTGATTTTCAATATACCGAGCTCAGACGATTGCATCAATATCCGTCACAAGCCCATTTCCGCCTGTAACATGACTCGTTCTTTGAATCGAGAAACAAGGATAGCGTAGCGCCAAGCCACGAAAGGCATGTATACTGGACTGACTCGAGGGCCGTGAAGCCCGGGAAGAAATCAAGACATACGACCTTGACAGGTAAATTGGCAATACGGGAGCCCGAATGCTGGTAATATCAGAAAACAAGATAACCTATTATACATAACTATCCAGCCAAACTTATATATAAGGCTCACACCCGTTACTATCCAGTTGGCCTGTTAGTATTGTTATAAGATCCATCGCAGTTCATCTCATTTATTTGACTCATCTACTCTTCTCCTGCGTCTCCAAACCACAGGATTCAACGTGTGCATCCGCCAAAATGAAAAGAACACGCCGGCCGGTTGCCTTGATTGCTCTTATAGTGGGCCTATGCTTTCAGGCCTATGCCAAGCCTACTGCGGCCTTGCCGGCAGATGTGATTGGAGAACTTCGAGGCCCAATTCATCTGCTAGGTGACACGGACGATGATGAACTCGGACGGCCAGCAAAGCGTGAGCCGTCGTGGAAGCGTCCTCTCGAGTTAATGCCGCCGCCTACAATCGTATATCGTGGCGACATAAGATCACCTGACGAGATTCGAGCCATCGGTGGCTTTTTGCCACGTAGCGAGATTGACCCAAGTGACGACAAAAATGGATTTAGTCTTTTTACGCACCATTCACATAATAAGTTTGCATCCAACAGAGCCACTGCGTATGTGTCCACAACTAGGTACTTTGGGGTAGGGCTTGGATACGCCAATATTGCTAGCAATGAGGGTGGATTACCAAATCCACGCCTCACCTAACATGATTGACTCTGATGGCACCTTGCTGCAGGGCCGCATATATTCCGATGAGTTTGAGTTCTCAGCCTTGGCGGGTATACCATGGACTCAAGTCAAATCCGCAATGAGGATTGGACCCCCCGGCAATCAGGGCATGGAATACTTCAAAAAAGGTGCTAAACTCTGGCGCGACATCACCCTGGAGGACTACACGGCATCATTTCCTGACAAACAATGGGTTGTCAATTAGACTACGACCCGAATTTTGAACGGTTCAAGGCAAGCCTAGGCCAGCCGCAGCTTGCTGGGTGGTTCGACATACACCGCCTGAAATACAAGAGTCAATGCCCCTGGAATCTCACCCAGTCGCAGACTGTCAAGGAGTACTACATGGATTTCATGAATCAGGTTGGAGGGCCGGTGGGCTGGACAGGCACTTATCCGTTGGTCTTCACCAAGGGTAAAACGGCGGTCGAGAATGATCCCCAAGCCAGGGAAGACGAGGTCTGTTCTACGGCGGGGGGCAAGCCTAACAAGTATGGTGTTGACGAACAATATTGCCGGGCAGTGGTCAAGGACTGCGCTTTGAAGGAAACAAGGAAGAACCCGAACGCCAGCGCGGACGATTTCATCAAGTGCGCGGACACTAAGCTCATGCGAAATCATTGAGCTATTAGAGAGTCTCTTTGATCTAGAAGCCTGTTGTGCGCCTGGCCGCCGGGTCGAATCTATACTGGCCGAGAGGAAGATTCATGAAGCCTAGAGTAACGGGCTGAGCCCGGTGTGCCTTTGGCCCACTGACAAGCGAGATTGACGAAGCATTAAACTAGTCTAGCCTCCGGAGACGTGTCTCGTTTTGCCTTCTTTCTTTTCTGTATTAAGGAACCTGTATTTATTGCCTAGCTAGTTTTCAATATACTTGGCTTGGACCATGACACCCAGGTACCATCGCCGGGAGATGCATCTTGTATACCTCCTGCTTTTGTGTGGAAGCGGGGGTAGGGGGACACCTGGAGCATGATATATCACTTTGTATATTTCAGCTTCTCAGCATAAAAAGACGACGGCGTCCTGTGCAAGCACACCAGTTTCCGGACGCAGAATGCCGTCGTCACCGTCACCAGCTCCGAGTACATCTTTGCCTTTCACTTCGCCCAGGACGCATCGGCGCACTACGAGGTCTGCGCGACGGGCATCTTGCTCACGGCGCCCATCGGCCTGGGCGGTTCGACTCCGTAGGGCATCGTCGTCACGCCCGGCGTACTTGAGCCGAATCACCACCCGCACCTGTTTTGCCTGCACATCGACTCCGGCCACCGACGGGCACAACAACTCCCTGCAAGTAGGTGGACGAGTTGGCAGCCATGCCGGTCGACGATCCCCTCGACATAACCTCTCTGGTGTCGGATACACACCTCGTCCACAAGGCCTCGACCGGACTTTGCCAAGAACCGCGTCTTTGGGATGGTAAACGAGGGCAAGGTCAACGGCGTTACCCAGACGCCGGTTGGGTTCAAGCTGGTCCCCTGCTGTCAGCTGCTTCTTGCTCATCCGGACTCCTACAAGGCCAAGAGGTCCGAGTTTGGGCAGCACGCGGTGTGTGGATGACGGAATACCACGACGGCGAGGTGTTTCCCGCAGGGCGTTATACGATGCAGTCATTGGGGGAAAGGGGCCTGGCGTCGATGATTGCGGAGCGAAAGGCCGAGGGAGATGGCGCTTCGTTGGTGAGAAACCAGGACATTGTGGCGTGGCACACGTTTGGGTCGACGGACAACCCGAGGACTGAGGACTGGCCCGTGACGCCGTCGAACAAGATGGTGGTTGGCGCGAAGCCCGTCAACCTGACATTGCCGTGTCCACGCGGGAACAAAACCAGAGTGTCTTGGTAGACGGAGCGCACGCTGCGTCATGACATTTCGGCCTATAATCGTCGCCCACTTTCTTTAGTGACAGGTCTAGCCTGCCACTTGACAGCTTGTTTAGGTCAGTGATACAAGTCAGTTGCGTAGCGATGCTACCAAAGACCGACATCGCCACAAGCTACATGCAGTTACATTGTGCGATTCAGGCTCCCCGGGCCGTCGGGCGCGGGCGGTCCGTCTGTGCGGGATAACATCATCATTTAATGTTATCAGCATATTAGTTAAGCCTGGGAAAAGAAAACATCATTGATAATTTCCCACTAACCCTGTGCGGGCAAGGGTACCGCCATTGCCGACAATATGTGTGCGTAACCGGCATAGTCGTACCTGTAGACACTGATGATTCCTGATGCTCCTTGTCAACAGGCTCCAAAGTGGCTTCCTTTGGCCTTATCAGCGAGTGGACAGGAGAATTTCGGAAAGTTTAGTTGTCGGGCTATGCCACAACTGCTTGGCTCCATGGACCCAAAGCTACGTGGAGTTGCATCGGGACGGGGCGGACCTTGGGGTCTCCTGCATGTCGTCTTAGAAGCCCCTTGCGTGTTCTGCCGTGTCGGCGATGTCGCTTAATTACTGCTTTGGGGAGTGTAAGTGGTTTGGCCAACCGTCGAGATAACGCCGTGTCGTTTCTGCAGAAACTATCATGGCTGAGAGCTGTCTGTACGAGACGTGAGAAGAATGAAGGCCTATCATATACGAGATTACGGTCGCCTGGTAGCCGGCTGAGGAACAATAGCGTCGTTGGGCTTTGACGTTGCAAGCGTCCTTACGAGGGGGCTCGCCGGACGGCCGACATGCTCGGGTGAATCAGTGAGATGGCGAGATGGTAGAACAAACAGCGGCCATTGCAGGTATAAACTTGACCAACAAACTGGTATATAAAGGGGTGGTGCTGCTCTCGTCGGCAAGTCATGTCCTGCTGTATCTGGAGAGGTACAGGATAAGCCTCTACGCCGATGCCAGCCACTTGCTATTGCGAACATGACTTCTACAATGGTCTGGCAACTCGTCTTGTGGTTGACCTTCTTTAGCTGGACCATCTCTGGCGACGCCGGTCTTGGTGGCGTCCTCGACCCCAGAGCAACTCCGCCGCTGCCCAGCGTAGATGCCTTCTATCGGGTCCCCGATGACGTCGACTCGTACGCCCCAGGCGCCATTATCCGGCATCGCCCGCCTCCAAACCCCATTGCGGTGGTTGATGCGAGCTACCAGCTCCTCTACCGGACCACAGACAGTCTCAACAACGCCACGGCCACGGTGCTCACCGTCCTCGTCCCTCGCAACGCAAACTTCAACAAGGTCCTCTCATACCAAGTGATAGATGATGCGGCAAGCATCAACTGCGCCCCGTCGTACGCATTCCAGCTGGGCGCCGACGGCGGGACGTCCACCACTGAGGCAGAGCTGCTGCTCGTCGAAGCAGCTCTCGAGCAGGGCTGGGTCGTCATCGTCCCCGACTACCTGGGGCCGAGGGGGGCCTTCCTCGCCAACGCGCTCTCGGGCCAGGCGGTGCTGGACGGCATCCGCGCGGCCAGGAACTCGGGCTCCATGACGGGCATCGGCGGGAGCCCCACCGTCACGCCTAGG